GGTTTTGTTTTTCAGTCTTTTGCTTGTACCTGTAGTTATAGTTTCTTTTGGTTTTGTTTTGTTTTTCTTCTTCTCTCTGCACAAGAGAAAAGGAGGGAAACAAAAGTCCAGGATGCTCTGGGATAGGTGATCCAGGACAGATGATTTGGGTGTGATCCAAGCTGACCAATAAAGATGTATTCTATCCCATAAATGTCACACTCACTATAAATTGGGGGGATTGCAGGGGATGACCCCTTCAACCTCTTTGGCCTCTTCGACCCTTCCTTCCCTTCTACTTTGTGATGGTGGCCTGTCTCAGTTCCTTTGTTGCGTTTTTGTTGGCGTAAGGCCAGTGGCTGCTGTTTGTGAGCTGAGTATAACTTTGATTGCTTTATTACCGCTTTTCCTATTCTTGTTGCAGTTCATTAGTAGTATTATTTCCATTTGGTTTGTTTCAATTATTAAATAGTCTTTATCTCAACTGGTGAGTTCTTTTACTCTCCCGATTCTGTTCCCCATTCCACCTGGGAGTGGTGGGGAGTTGAGTGAGCGAACTGCATGATGTTTAACTGCTTCCTGGGTTAAACCACAAGGTTAAACCTGCCATACAAGAATGTGGAAGAAATCCTGTGTTAAACATCTGCTCACATGGGGAGTTTCTTCCTAAGTATTGTAGCTTTGTATCTTGAATCATCAGTGTTTAACTTTCATAAATACATTAGTGTGGTGGGTTGACCCTGGTTAACATCCACCCAGCCTCTTTCTCACTACCCTCTCCCACAGGACCAAGAAAATAGAGGGATCAAGATAATGACAGTTTAACAAGTTTTTTAATTCGCTGCTTCCCATCAGCAGGCACATGTTTAGCCACTTCCTGGGCAGCAGGGCCTCAGCACACATAATGGTTGCTTGGGAAGACAAATGCCATAACCACAAATGTCCCCAATTCCTTCTCCTTTCCTTGAACATTTATTGCTGAGTATGATGCCATATGGTATGGAATATCCCTTTGTTCATTTGGGGTCAGCTGTCTTGGCTATGTCTCCTCCCAACCTCTTGTCCACCCCCAGCCTACTCCCTGTGTATGTGTGTGTGAAGGGAGGAAGAGAGAAAGTCTTGACACTGTACAATAGCCAAAACACTGGTGTGTTATCAACACTGTTTTAGCTACAAATACAAAGCACAGTACCAAGTAGGCTGCTATGAAGAAAGTTAACTCCATCTCAATACAATTAGTTAGTTTTAAAAATTAGTTAATGGGAGATGTTCTAATTCAGTTTGTAATATGCACTTGCATCTTATGTGATACAGAACAAATCTGAGAAGTCGCTAAATACATTTTTCTTAAGGATTTATTAGTTCTTTGGTTGTCTTAATTTTAACTTCTCATTTAAGGTGGTAATTTGAGTCCCCTCATTTCTTCTTTATGTATCTCAGGAGTTGTACAGGGTTTATGTGGCAAGGTTTTGGTAGCAGGGGGGCTGCAGGGGTGGTGTCTGTGAGAAGAGATCAGGAACTGCCCCCATGTCAGAAAGAAACAGTTTCAGATGTCTCTAAAACAGACCCATCACTGGCCAAAGCTGAGGCAGTCAGCGAAGCTGGTGGTGCCTCTGTGATAAAATATTTAAGAAAGGGTAAAAAATACTGCACATATATATTTTTCCTTTACCAAAAAATATCTGGTTTTTACTTCCCATTCATTAAATGGATACTTGTCTAGATGTGTGTATTATCTTTGCTATCCTTTGTTTCTCTGACAAAAATGGCTTTAATTAGGTTACCTATTTGTAGCATATTTTTTTCCTTAATTCTATAGTTATTTAACATCTTATTATATTTTGTCCTACCTGAGCTCTTATTGGTTCATGCCTTGTTTGGCATTGCTTGGCTACACTTTAGTGGGGCAAAATATCTAGTGTTCTCCGGAGGAGAAATTATTTCTTTATTTCAGTTTTTATCATAATACTTATAGTTTCTCATCCTGGTTAATGCTTGGATTCACTCCTTGGTAATCCATGCACACCCATAGTTTTGGCTAAATTCCTTCCTAGTCAAATAACTAGAGTTATATTTAATTTTTGTGGCTCATTGTTTGCCATTTTAGGTATACTGTTAGCCTTTCTAACTGTTTTTACCTATTAAAATTTATGCTTTCCATTGCCTTCAGAAGGGTTCACTTCCTATTTGGCTAGTGGTTCAAACAACAGTTTAAGCCATCTCCTAAATATTTCTGAAGAATGGCCATAAATAGCTGTTCTCATGCACTATGGAAATGTGTGTGGTTTATACAGTTTTTTAAACTGGAGATCTCCTTCGTTATATTGAAACTGCTAAATATGTGGCTGCTCTTCAGTTGCATGGAAACCTAGCTATAAGATAAGGTTTAGAAAATAAGTAATCGAGTTCCATGGTATAGGTTCTGATCTATCTGATATACTGTGCAAACAAATAATGTTTTCATTCTTTTTTGATAGCTACTTACTAGGTTAATGAAATCTTGAAACACCATAAAACAAATTTGGGTTCTGTATCTTTTACTACATAGCTGTAAGACCTAGAAGTCTTCGGTTACTCTTATATATCACACAGTGTATATTTTACAGTGCTTGAGAGAAAATGCACTTCAGTAGTTTATAATGGAATGTGATTAACTTTTTCAATGCTGATATCTTTCACATTAGTTTGAAAGTTTAGCTTCTGATAGTTCTTTATGCTTAGTTTACCACTTGGTCTATTTACCTTAATCTTTTTTTATGTTTAACAAACTTAGGGTTCAGGCTACCATCTTATCATATTCCTGTCTGAAGCTTTGCATACTGTGAAAAATGTTCCACTATTCAAATTCTGAAATGTATTCCAAAACAAACTCAGTTAAACCAAATATTTGTGAGCCATGCCCACTCAATCAGTTTACTGGAGAGCAAGGTTATCTGGCAACAGAGTGTAATCTGGTAATTTGCAGTGTGGGAACCAAATGTAACTGTTTTAATTAAATCTAATGCTGTTATCTTATGCTACCAGTGCATTTTTAAAATATATATATAAGCAGGTGGTTTCTTTATCATATTTAAAACTGCCCACATAAGGCTTTTTTGGGATCAGAATGTATCTGCTTCCTGGGTAACTTATCCTCTCTTGTATTTTAAACAAAAAGAATGAAAAATGTTGCATATATTCTGAGGATAAACAGGGCATAAATCTAAGTATTCAATTGTAGTTAGGGGGAGGGAAATTTTAGGAAGCTTGAATCTTAATCCTTGGAAGTATATTTATGAGAATTATATATTTGAGAATTAAAGATTACTTAGTCTTCTAGAACAGTTTGAAGTGATTTTTTTATTTTTTTTAATTTTTGTTAACTCTTCTTTTTGAGATTCCATAGGCAGAAAGATAATGTATATTTAAATGGTAGCAGTATATTCATTATTTAAAGCATATATTTTGTAATCTGTTTCTGTTTACTCTATCGGTGATGGGCACTGTTGCAAAAAAAAATTAATTTTTAAATTTGGAATGCCTTCATTTTAGTGGTGGTTGTAGCATCCTTTAATTTGGGAAGGGAGAGGAAAGCTCTGTATTTCACATTTCTTAGTACAACAAGCTGTAGCTCAGCTGATGGGACAAGAAGTTTAGTTTGTCATGTTTTCTTTATTTAATTTAATTTTTAATGTTTAAGAAACCTGGTTTATTTTACTTTTCAGCTCTCTTTTTCTGATACGGATTCAAAATCATGCTCTAAGGAGATGTGAGGTTGACACTTAGTGTGGTTATCCCAAATTTTTCAAATCAGACCTATTCCTTTTGATTTTGCACTTTGCTAATTACAGGAGGATCATCTCTCTTCGCTTTCTGATGTCTTAATTAGTAGCTTGACTGAAATTACATAGATGAGTAAAATAGGATTTGGTCTTAAATCTGCATCCCTTGGTGTATTGAATGTAAGTGACAAAGCAGGCAGGCTGCAGGGGTGTGGCCTTTGTGGGAAGAGGTCAGGGACTGCCCTGTGCTCCACATAGCTGGCTTTGCAATGAATCCACTACAGGCCAAAGCTGAGCCCATCAGCAAGGTTTGTGGTACCTTGTGGAAAAAATATTTAAGGGCAGAAAACACTGGACAGAGAGGAGAAGAGAACAAAAAGAGTGAGAAACAACAAAAGCAACACCAAGGTCAGAGAAAGGAGTAGGAGGGGCTCCATGGTGCCGGAGCAGATATTCCCTGCAGCCTGTGGAGAATCCATGCCAGAGTAGATGTATATTCCTAAAGAAACTGCTGCCCGTAGAGAACTGACAACAGAGCAGAGGAAAAATGTGAGAAGGAAGAGGCAGCAGAGAGAAACCATTATTTACTGACTGTAACCCCCCACTCCCATCCCCCCTGTGCAGCTTAGGGTGGGGTGGGCTGGGGTGGAAGAGTCTGAAGGGAAGGAGTGAAGTTGGGCATGGGGAAGGGGAGGAGGAAAGCTGTTGGTTTAATGTTTGTCTTTTTGTTTCCCACTACTCAACTTAGTAATTACATTTTTATTTTAGTTGGCAATAAATGAAGTTAATTTTCTTCAAGTCGATTCTGTTTTGCCTGTGACTGTAATTGGTAAGCAGTCTCCCTGTTTTTATCTCGCACCATGAGCTTTCTCGTTCCTGTTCTTCCTACTTTCTCTCCCTGTTCTGCTGAGGAGGGGAAGTGAGCAAGCAGCTGGGTAGGAGTTTGGCAGTTAGTCAAGGCTAACCCACCACACTTGGTCAGTGTTAATAATGTACTAGAACTATTCCACTCTGAAACCTTGATATGTAAAATAGTGTAGATTTCAATTATTTCTCCATTAATTTTTATAATCTTTTAAAAGTTTAGTACTCACTCAAAATATATGAATAAGTATACAAGAGCCTGAAGGTATCTACATAAGCATATATTTAAGGTGAATTATAGTTACTAATTTTATTCCAAAACTACTTTTACCTCATCAGTATATCTGAACTGCTATGTAATGTGTGGGTGATTTTATTTTTTTACAGATACCAAAGATGATGACTAGAAAGATTAAGCTTTGGGACATTAATGTCCATATAACCTGTCATTTATGCAACGGATACCTGATTGATGCCACCACTGTAACAGAATGCTTACATACTTGTAAGTAGGAATATAATGCTATGAGTAAGCTAAAATTGTTTTTTAAACTTGATGTGCTAGATGTTTTAATAGTTTTAGTTGAAGTTTAAAGTTTTACTGTGTATCAGCCAGAATAATGCAAGCTTTGCTATGCACTTATAATTTTTCAACAAAAATATATTGTTTTGTGAGAGAAATAAGGAGAACAAACTCGAAAACATATATTATAACTGGTAATGTATATGTTTAGGAATGTAGTTTTTCTGCTGAATATTAGAAGAAATGTGGCATGCTTTACAGAGATTATATGATGTTTCAAATTTGCCAGAGATATTTTTTCTACTGCACTTGATTTCTAGATGCTTTTCGTTAGCTTTAATGTATATGCTTTTCTTGTTTTTCTTCCCATTACTTTTTTTAGCTCATTCTTGAGTCCCTTCTCCATGTGCTCCAAATCTCAAGTTCCGTGGTGTTCTGTTTGGAGTAAATAATTTAGAACCCTAATCAAGGCTCTTGCTTTGTTTTGTCCAAAATTCTGTAATATTGCCATTAGCTATTAAAATTAGTCTTACTAGAGGGTTACTTTTTCATTGTTCTAAAATGTATGTATTTATTCATTTATTTATTTGCAACCCTGAAACATGCACTGCAAGCAGGTGTGCTCAGTTCACATAGTCCATCCCATTTCTAAGGAATGCATTTTTAGAGCAAACCTATGGGATGTCTTGTAGAATGTCCTTTATTATAAATTTATGTTTTCAGAAAGTTATGTTGCTTTTGGTTTCATCCTTAGACTTATGGTATTCATTCTGAGGGGAGACATAGCCTCATATTATGGGTGGAAAGGTAGGGAAGCAGCTTTTTAAAGAACAGCTAGAGGGAAAGTGAGTTTTCCCACTTTGTTTCTTCATTTGTACCTTTTTAGTTTAGCTGATCTGTGATGAGTTTAGTTTAGTTTAGAAGGGCTTGGTGCCTCCTTATTCGAAACTGGAGAATCTACTGATGTGGTTTTAGAAGATGGATTTGGTTCTTTTGTTTACTTGGTTCAAACAGGTTATGGCCTCACCCTTCCAACTGGATCTGCTAGTATAACCAGTGGAGCAGACTGTAATGCAAGATCTGGGCTTAGTGGGCAAAATTATTAGGATTGGTCCAATAATCACCTCTACCAATAAGAGTAATTTAATCTTAAATATGTAAATACAGTATATAAGCAAAGCAAATGTAATGACTTTTTTTGTCTTTAACTGGTGTTTATACATACCATCATATCGGAGAGGTAGATGGCACTAATGCTACAGTTCTCTTGCCTAATACCATAAGGGCTGTTTTAAGGCTGCCTAAGATTAAAGGAATCCCTGTTTAAGGAAAAGATGTTTAACTTTATTTAATAAAAAAAAATATATAATTTAGGTAACTTGAGCTTTTTTAATTTCTGAAGTTTGAGCTGGAGTTCATTTAGAACTTCAAGTCAGGAAAACACTTAATACAGTAATGTATTATTATTAGTTAAAAAAAAAGTAGTACTCGTTTAAATGAGGGAATTGTTTCTCTTTGAATCAAATATATGGTTGTGTATAGACTTAGAAACAGTTCCAAAAGCATGCTGCTCTGTAGTATCCATTTTATCAGTTTTTATCTGTATATTAAAGACCATTCCTCATTCAGTTTTCTGACTGAAGTCTAATTGTAGTGTATTTTGTGAAAGTGAAAAATTAAATTGCATTTGAATAAAATTATTCAAAGCAGCTGACTTGAGGAAAAAGAAATTATTCTTCTGCCAAAGCTTTATTATAATAATGCATTTTTCTTCTATGTGCATCCATGATAAACAGCAAATTGGCTAGGTATCTTAATGGCATGCGGTGTCCATAACAAAGATGAGCGGTACAAGTAAATATGCTACTGACCTATTTGAAATTATGTTCTAACAACTTTGGGAATGGGACTGTGTTCCGAACTTAATCATGTTTTGTTAGGAAGACTCCAACTAGATATAATTTTCTTACCATAGATAAAATGTATCACTTTTTTGAATTGAGAAGAGTCATGAAAAATGTTCATTAAAAATGTTCTCTTCTCCAGGCTGAACAGCTCCAACTCTCAGCCTGTCCTCATAGGAGAGGTGCTCCAGCCCTCTGATCATTTCTGTGACCCTCCTCTGGACCTGCTCCAGCAGCTCGATGTCCTTTTTGTGTTGAGGACTCCAGAACTGGACACAGGACTCCAGGCAGGGTCTCGCAAGAGCAGAGAGGGAGAATGACCTCCCTTGACCTGCTAACCTCACTTCTTTTGATGCAACCCAGTATCTGATTGGTTTTCTGGGCTGCAAGCATGCAGGTCATGTCCAGTTTTTCGTCCACCAGTATATCCCTAAGTCCTTCTCCTCACAGGTGCTTTCAATCCATTCATCATCCAGTGTGTATTTATACTGGCGATTGCCTCGACCCATGTGCAGGACCTTGCACTTGGCCTTGTTGAACTTCAAGAGGTTCTCACAGTCCCACTCCTCAAGCCTGCCAAAGTCCCTCTGGATGGCATCCCTTCCCCCTGAGGTCTGGAGAGCTATTTCAGTTCTTGGGTGAAGACATCAGCATAGTTAGGCTGTAGTGCTTCTGTTTGGGTTTCAGCCTCAGCCTTGCATTTACAGCAAGCGGACACCATTTTCTTTTGTCAGTTCACAGTCTCTTTATAGTTAATAGAAAAAAAATGGCCCACTTATAGAATGGTAATTCTTTTGAAAGATGTCATCCTTCTAATTCTAATTCCCTGGAGACCTCAAGGCTCTGGGTAGCAGTTCGTTGGGGTGACTGACAGAGCTGCAGCCCCAACAACTGAGAGTGAGCTGCCCTTTTCATGAAAACTGCTGACACCACTCCCAGCCAACTCCATACTCTTGGTTGCTAGCACTCCCTAGAGGCCGATTATATGCAGCTTCCTGGGGTTTGAACTGGCCACGGGGACTGCCAGCACCGCCCAACTCTTGCTTTCCCTTCTCGCAATACCTGTCACCTGCTGGCTGGTCCCTCCACAGGCACAGCCCAAGGGTGTTAGAAACACACTCAGATACCCCTGGTGACCTCACAAGTTTCTTCAAACTACATCTTGTTTTATTTCTTCTTAATTATGAATGTTTTTGTTAGTCTGTAGAAGCTGCTTGGTGAAGTATTTGGAGGAAAACAACACCTGTCCAACATGTCGGATCGTTATACACCAGAGCCATCCATTACAATATATCGGGTAAGTGTGCGATATGAAAGGAAAAGCACAACTAGTTACTCTCTGGACTGTACAAACCTCTCAAATACAGCACAATTTCTTTCTACATTTTTTATTTGATTATCAAGATTTTAAATATATATAAAGAAGCTTGATTTGAAGATAGAAGATTTATATAAAAGAGGTAAGGTATTGAATTCTGCTTACTAATTTCCATTCCCATACAGGGCTCCCTTACTGTGTGACCTAAAATTAATGGGGTGTTGTACCGTAATTTCCTTTTTTTCAGCGTATTTTCTGTTTATTTGTACATTATCTTTCTTTATCTTCAGCAGTTTGCTCTCACTTTAAAAATTTCAAAGGTATCAGTCAAATGTTTATACTACCTGACTTGACTGGATCTGCACTAAAGATTTGTACCATAGCAACTTTCATTGATAGGAATGTATTGAGACAGTATGTTCATAATAGCTGTTGCATGTTGTGTAGACTTTTGTCTACCTCCATGCAAAGTTTCTTTTTGTTTGTGGCACTGCTTCAAATGCGCATGTCTCAGTTCTAGTGCTTTTGACAAAGTGGCTATAGAAAATGAATTTGATACTTTCACTGAGAATTGTGCATGCCCTATAAAAACTTTCTTAATTGCTCAAAACTGAGTCCCCTTCAGGAGTCAGAAATAAGATAGGTTTTTCTTATACCTTCCAAGAACCATGTGGAGACTGTACTAGAGAAATATGACAAAAGAGTAATGACAAATCCATGCCAGTAGGCAAGAAGAAACAAATGGTACTTACGACAACATGGTTGTCCTCTGTAAAACTACATGAATACATCTGTGTATTGGTTCAGAAGCCTGTTTTCAATGCTAAGAGTGGCCTGGAAGCATAGATTCAATTTGAGTAATTAGAAGTGGATTTGACAGTTGTTTGTAGACACTGAATGCACAGTATTATGTCTTTTTAAAAATTGCTCCTTCTTCAGTCTAGGTTCTTTGCTTTACTGCCTCGAAAAATGAAGATGCCCTTGTAGAGAAGTATTTTCCTGAGCTAGTTGCAAAATACTGCCCTTCAAAGATCAAAATAGATAGCCTTTGTCCAACTTGCTTTTGGAAGTCTGTGGTTTCTTCAATAGGGAGGAACTTTGTATTATGCCTTAGTTACAAGAATCTGTGATCTAATTCATTCCCATCCATCTGGGGAATAGGTAAAACAAACACATCTCATCTTTCATCATTAAGAATGCTGTTGAATTCTCACCTCTGCTCTCATGCTGGTGTCTAAAATCATTCATATAGATTGAAATGTTTTTGGAGCTGTTCCTGCAATCTGTAAATGACACTTAAAAACCCTAACCTGAGAGATAAAGCTATGAGTTTGGTATTATAAACTCTTCTGGGGTTAATGCCCTGGTAGCAGCTGAGGGTGACATTTTAGCTTGTATTCGATTTTATTTATAGTTTGGAAGTCAGGGTAATGTTCTGGTCCTTTCGGGCAATTACTTGTTTTAGAGTAATCCAGGAAATGGCAGCTTGTAGTTAAACTTTGGTTGAAAACATCAGTGTTTAGAATCTTAACCAGTCCTGCTTCTCCACCATTTCCTTCCTTATGTGCTGGATCAGTCTGTCTTTTTTTGTTCCACCCTTATTAGCTAGATGAGATTCTGAGCTACATGATATTGCTCTTGGGTGAAATGCTGGATTATAAGAGCAAACACAAATTTTCTTTCCTTTCTTCTTTTCTTTGTTCTCTTCTTTTTTTCCCCTATAGACTTTTTTCCTCATGTTTTTTAAAAAGCCCAGTATGGATAACTAAAGAACCTAGCAACACGAGAGATTAATTAAAAGGGATACAAGACAATATAGTGTCTAGAAACAGAAAATTTAAAAATGCTTTTTTCAAAATTGTCAAGGAATTTTAAGAGTTAAGTTACTGATACATATATGGCATGCTTTGCATCATAAAGACCATCCTTCCTAACATCCTTCCTAGCATTTCTGTTAAACTTTTGTCAGTTCTTGTCTTATCCTGAACTTTATCTGCGTTCCTTGTTACTGTTATCTCATGCTTGATATTTCAGTTACCCAAGATAAAGATTTTTATTTCTTGCAAGACTTTAGAGGTTTGTAGAGTTGATTTGATAATGAATCTCTTTAAGAGAAATGTTTTGAATCAACATGGATAATTTAAACCTTCATTTTTTCTTTTTTTTCCCTGCTAGTCATGATAGAACGATGCAAGATATTGTTTACAAACTTGTGCCAGGCCTCCAGGAAGGTAAGTTTTCTGGTATGACCTATTTGAATGTTAGATTTACACATAGTTCCTTTACATTAACAAAAGGAGGAAGTGAGGAAAGTGTTCATGGGGGGATGAAAAATACTATCTTCATTTGTTCTGGTTCTAGCACTACTTTTCCTCTATACTTTAGTGTTTTTGTAATTTTAGACTTGTACTAGCAGTGTTACTGAAAACTTCAGAAATTAAAATGCTGGTGTTACTTCAGGGAAAAGTAACATTATGTAGCCTAAATAACACTACAACTTTTTCATGTTGACATTCTATAATTTGCATACATTCATCTTTAATAAACTCTGTACATATTCATGCCTTTTTTGACAGCTTTCAGAGTTCTCAGTAGAATACTAATGTAGTATGACACTTAGTTTCAGTGAATTTTTCTTCTCCTAAGTTCTTTGTTAGCAGATATCTTTGCATTTGTGTTCTTATAATCTACTTTGATAATGAATTTGTTGAACTAAAGGAATGCTTTATAGTAATTGTTCAGTATTATTTTTCAGTGGTGTGTTGCTACTTTTTATTTAAGTAGAATATTTTAATCCAGTTAAACTGTCAAATGAGGACATTATGAGACATTTATAAGCAAGTTTAGGTAAAGAGATTATTTTAAAATTGTTTCTAGGATATTGAAAACCAGAAATATGGATAAAAATTCAAAACCAATATTATGACAGAAATATTGAAGGGGAAAAACACAAAGTATGGTATAGTATTTAAAAATTATTTTATATGTAATAACAGAATGGTGTAATAATAGCTCTGTAAATGACTTGGCAGTATTCTGTCTCTCAAGAATAAGATCTAGGGTAACTTGATTACGGCAGAAAGAGTAGAGAAGTAGCTAATACCACTTCCTGCCTGACAAGCTTATTTTACAGAACAGAGGAGGGTTTTGGAATACCTTGATAAATATTGCTCTAGGACATTATTACATAACTAATATTTACAATTTTAAACAGCGGAAATGAAAAAGCAGAGGGAATTCTATCACAAACTGGGTATGGAAGTACCAGGGGACATCAAAGGGGAGACATGCTCTGCAAAGCAACATCTAGACTCACATCGCAATGGTAAATGGTCTTAAAGTATTTTCTGTCTTGGGGTGGGGATGCAGACTGCCATTAAGCTGCTGAAAGGATCTGTCAGACGTAGCTGTCTAGCTAATATTTATTAGCACTCATAATTGTTGTATAATATTGTACAAGGCTTGTTCATGTTTATGTATTGGAATCTATACAAGAACAGTATTATTTTGCATCACACTTGTTTATAGAATGTGTTCTTTTAGCTGGCTGTAATCATAGAATCATAGAATAGTTTGGGTTGG